CACATTGATTTTGTATCCTGAGACTTTGCTGAAGGTGCTTATCAGTTTAAGGAGATTTTGGGTTGAGATGATGGGGTTTTCTAAATATACGATCATGTCATCTGCAAACACAGACAATTTGACTTCCTCTTTTCCTAATTGAATACCCTTTATTTCTTTCTCTTGCCTGATTGCCCTGGCCAGAACTTCCAATACTATGTTGAATAGGAGTGGTGAGAGAAGGCATCCTTGTCTTGTGCTGGTTTTCAAAGGGAATGCTTCCAGTTTTTGCCCATTCAGTATTGTTATCTTTGTTTTTTTGGACAGGGTCTAGCTCTGTGGCCCAGACTGGAATGGAGTGGCATGATCTTGGCTCACTGCAACCACCGCCTCCTGGGCTAAGACATCCTTCCACCTCTGTCTCCTTAGTAGCTGGAACCACAGGTGTGCACCACCACACCTGGCTGATTTTTGTATGTTTTGTAGAGATGGGGTTTTGCCATGTTTCTCAGGCTGGTCTTGAACTCCTGAGCTCAAGCGATCCACCCGCCTTGGCCTCCCAAAGTGCTGGGATTACAGGTGTGAGCCACAACACCCGGTGACAATGTGATCTTCATAGTTATTGTAGGTCCCACAGAGGCTCTCTGGGATTCAATGAGACATTTGACAAATTTTCTGATGTTCTTGAAGGCAAGATGGCAAAAGTGGGATCTGGAGAAAAGTACAGCTGGGTAGATTCCCAAACAGAGGGAGGGTTTCTAAGAAGAGCACGCCACGGGGCCTTGTCCTTGCTTTTCTTCAAGACCGGGTCGCTGGAGCAATAGGAACTCCCCCCACCACACCAACATGCCAACTTGCAACCAGGACAGAACCTCTCAGCTCCTTCCTCCTCTTGGTTTCTGTGCTCATGTGTGTATCTTCCATGAGAGTAGACACTCCTTCAGGTTGGGGAGGCGGCTTATGCATTGTGTATCTCCTGTATCACTTAGCTGATTGTTCAGCCAATAGTAGATGCTCAATAACACATACTCATGTGCACATAGAGTAATGAAACCACATTTCCCAAATGAATGGGTGGGCAGGTTGCAGGGGATGACTATTGTTTCAAAGAAGAGAATTGAGAATCAGAAGGATCTCCAGAGATTGGCAGGAAATCACCAAGATGAAACTGAATGGGGATTCATTCATTCAACTAGTATGTACTGAACACCTACTGGCTGCCAGGCACCGTTCTTAAGTGCAGAGAATACAGAGGTGAGTAAAACAGACAAAATCTCTGCCCTCTTGGATCTCACATTCTAGTGCAGGAAAGCTGGCAAACAGAATGAGTGAGTAGAATACACGGTGTATGAGGAAGCAATAGATGCCAAGTAGAAAGAAAGCAGAGAAGGGGAGAAGAGTGGCAAAAGAGGGTTGGTCTCGGGGTTGCAGTTTTGGTTTGGCGCAGCCAGAGAAGGTGGAGGAAGGCCAGAAGAAGATGGGGAGCAAGCTAGGAGGGTATCTGGGGAGGAGCATGCCAGGAAGAGGACACAGCGAGTGCCAAAGCCCTGAGGCTGGAGTGTTCTGGAGTGTTGGAGAATAAATTAGGGGATAAACTAGGTTAGCCTTCTTTTGTGCCTTATACTTTTCTCTCCCAATCGTAATTACACTTAAAGACTTGTTTAATATCTGTTTCCCCAATAGACTCTAAGGTCTCTTAGTTCAGTGGCTGGGGCTTGGTCTCAGGTAAATTTCTGTTTTTTTTTTTTTTTTTTTTGAGACAAAGTTTCCCTGTGTTGCCCAGGCTGGAGTAAAATGGCGTGATCTCGGCTCACTGCAACAGCTGCCTCCTGGGTTCAAGCGATTCTCCTGCCTCAGCCTCCTGAGTAGCTGGGACTACAGGAGCCTGCCATCACACCCAGCTAATTTTTGTATTTTTAGTAGAGACAGTGTTTCACCATGTTGGCCAGGATAGCCTTGAACTCCTGACCTCAGGTGATCTGCCCGCCTCGGTCTCCCAAAGTGCTGTGATTACAGACGTGAGTCTCCGTGCCCAGCCTGGTTCTCAGGTAAATTTCTAACTCTCAGCACAGGGCCTGAAATATGGTAGATGCTCAACCATATGTTGTTGAATAAATGAATAAATGTGAATAAATGACTTTTGGGTGAAAAGATCGACTGCACAAGCAAGAACCGGCTTGAGAGCAATTAGAGAGAAAGGTTGGAGACTTGTAGCTGTGGCCAACGGTGAACTTAGGGTGGTACGGTGAGAGAAGAGGCCACAGGAAAGCCATAAGAAGCTGTGCTGAGATGCCGGGTGCAGTGGCTCATGCCTGTAAACTCAGCACTTTGGGAGGCTGAGGTGGGCGGTTCGCCTGAACCCAGGAGTTCAACATAGGCACCATGGCAACATGATGAAACCCCATTTCTACTAAAAATGCAAAAATTAACCATGTGCAGTGGTGTGTGGCTGTAGTCCCAGCTATTCAGAAGGCTGAGGTGGGAGGGTAGCTTGAGCCTGGGAAGTTGAGGCTGCAGTGAGTGGAGATTGCGCCACTGCACTGTAGCCTGGGCTGCAGAGTTAGACCCTGTCTCAAAAAAAAAAAAAAAAAAAAAAAAGCTGTGCTGGCAGGGCCTTTCCCATTGATAAGGGCCAAGGTAGGGACAGGCTGTAGAGCATGAGGTGTGGTTGAGAAGGGTTAACCTGGAGCAGGGGAAACTGAGGAAAGATATAACCCATTAGAGCCTTGGCACTGCAGGATTTAGTATTAAGTCCTTGATGGGAGCCAATTATACTTTTGCTGCTGCATGAATTGGGATCTCTGTATACCTTTGTGTGCAAAACCAAGTCACTCGGCTGCTGAGGGGCCTGGTTCAATCTCCAGACTGTTGTCATTCTCCCCATCACTACATGACTATCTTTCTAAGTAGGGGAATTATTTCTAAGCAGGGGCAGCATCTGTTACAGCAGCAATTGCAAATCTGGGGATTCTGCAAGGTCCCTGGGTATAATGGTCGTGGATAAAAATTCATCTGTTTAAACAAATAGTGATTGATGCCTAGTGTATGCCAGACGCTGAGCTGGATAGAGGGGTGGACAGGACATACATCATGGAGCTGTGATTCAGTGTTTAGTGGTGCTGTCTTAGAAAGTTTGAAGGGCGGGCGGGCATGTGGAACAGGGAGGAGGTTCATTGTGGGCTGCTCCATGGGGCAGTGGTCTGAGCTGAGTACAGGTGGTACCTCCAGCCTGAGGAGCTCTGTGGGCTGCCTTGAGCAAGTCCCTAAGATCACAGAGGGATGGGCCAGAGCAGACTTAGAGGTCACCTGGCAACCTCTTATGTTGCCCTGGAGTATGCAGTCTCTATGCCCTGCCCCACACCTATGGGGCCTCAGGGTCCTCAAGTGTAAAACAAAGGCATTGGCTCAGATGACCTTGAAGTGCCCTTCTGGCTCTGTTATCTACAAAATTACAAATATGGGGAAGTTCCATGGAGGTGGATTTGGCCCCATCCCAAATGTGGCCTCTGTCCTCCACCCTGAATCCTGACAGGGAGGGATGGTAGAGTTCAGTTCACAGAAATCTTTCTCAAGCACATTTGTGGGGTCTGGAAGGCAGGCCCAGAACCTCGCCCCTGCACAGTGGTCCCCAGGGAGTAGGGCTTGAGTCCCCTGAGGAATGAGCAGAATTCAATGCATTTCCCAGCCTTCTTCTGGACTCTGGGGCTGCTCTGCATTGCCTCCTCTCTCCTTGGTGCACCTAATTCTCCTCCTGGGTCTTTTCTCTCCTCTTCTCTTCCTTACCTGGTCCCTTCCTCCTTGAACTCCTTTGTTCTCCCCACTGAAGGCCCTGCCTCTTCTTCCTCTTGAGGTCACCTGCCATTCAGTTTCATTAAGGCGTGCTGCCGGTTGGGGCCAGGGGAAGGAGGAAGGGGCTTTTAATCCTCTGGAGGGAGGTGAGGCGTACTCACTGTTATCTGGCCTTGGGGTGGAGTATCTGTGGGATTGTTCAAATTGCTAAGACTGACTTCCTCATAGCACGTCTCTTGAGTGTTCAGTATTCTGAGCCCTCGTTTGTCCTTGCCTTGAGCTGCATTGTCAAAGGCCCCGGTGTCCTTGCTTATGAATGTGCCAGGCTCTAGGAAAGGGGAGGGGGACCGGGAGAAATAGCCCCCTTGCCATGTAAATAAGAAATTTTAGATACTTGCCCAAATCAGAGTGGTCCAACTCTGCCGGCCAGTGGTGGAGGAGCTTAAGTGGAGTCTACTGGATGCCTTCCTTCCAGGAGTCCTGCCACTCAGGAGAGTTTGTACTGAAGTATCAGATGAACCCTAGAGTTTTCCTCCAACCACCAGACTTTCAGGCCAGAGGCAGAGACTGTCCTCTGGGGAACCCCAAATGTCCTGTTTCCGCTCCCAGTCCATCTGGAGTATTTTTCTAAATGCACATTGCTTTTTCTTTTTGAGATGGAGTCTCACTCTGTTGCCCAGGCTGGAGTGCAGTGGCGCAATCTTGACTCACTGCTCTACCTCTGCCTCCTGGGTTCAAGCAATTCTCCTGCCTCAGCTTCCTATGTAGCTGGGATTACAGGTGTGTACCACCACACCTGGCCAATTTTTGTATTTTTAGTAGAGGTGGGGTTTCGCCATGTTGGACAGGCTGGTCTCAAACTCCTGACCTCCAGTGATCCACCCACCTCAGCCTTCCAAAGTGTTGGGATGACAGGCATGAGCCACTGTGCCTGGCCCTAAATGCACATTTCATTTTGGAGGCTGGGTGGCTCTGATTTGTAACCTGAGGAAGCAGAGCCTGATGGCAGGTGGATGGGCCTGGCCCTGAGTGCTTGTGGAAGGAGCAGAGCCATAGGCTGGGTCAGAAACGAACTGTCCATGAGATCCTGGATGGAGATGCCTGGTTTCAGTGGGTGGTGCCTCATGGATGATTGCTGGGTTGGGCAAGAGGAAGGACTTGGAAACCCTGTTTTTCTGTTTCATTTCCAAATCTTGGAGTGTCTTTTAGCCAACGATGGCAATAACACCTCCTCACTTTGTGGCACTGCAAGTGCGTTCCTCTCCAACTCCTTGAGGCAGATTCTCCCTTGAGAATCCAGGGCACTCTGATGCTTCCTCTGAACCCCTTCTAGCTTTCTTTCCTCTTCAACCTCCCCGCTGCTTCCCTATCTGCCCCAGGAAGCCTTCCCTGAGTGGCCTCAGTGACTTTGCTCTGGCCATCCCTCCCTGTCCCTCAGTACTGACATCCTGGTCTCCTGCCTGCTTCCTCACCTTTGGGCATGCCTCTTTCTCCAACAACCTGGGAGCTCCGAGGGCAGGGTCTGGGTTTCCTTCTCCCTTGGCTCTGCACGTGCTAGACACTTATTCTCCAGGCACGTCAGAATAAGTCAACTGGAGCCAAGTGACAGACACAGTCAGATCAAGAGCATCTTGCTCTCCAAGGCCCAGCCCAGGTACGGGAGTGGATAAAAGTCTCGTGCTGGGGCCCCAGGGCAGAAACTCACACACCTTGACAATCTGTCTGTCCGTCTGCAGCTGCGTGACTGTCTGTCTCTGCCATGTCTCTCTCCCCATGCCGGGCCCAGAGGGGCTTCAGCTCTCGCTCAGCCTGTTCTGCTCGCTCAAGGGGCTGCAGCAGGGGAGGCTTCAGCAGCAGGAGCCTTAATTCCTTTGGGGGGTGCCTGGGAGGCTCTCGTGGGAGTACCTGGGGGTCAGGGGGAAGGCTGGGGGTGCAGTTTGGGGAGTGGAGTGCTGGGCCTGGGCTCTCCCTGTGCCCTCCGGGGGGCATCCAAGAAGTGACCATTAACCAGAATCTGCTGACCCCACTGAAGATTGAGATCGACCCCCAGTTCCAGGTGGTGCGGACGCAGGAGACCCAGGAGATCAGGACCCTCAACAACCAGTTTGCTTCCTTCATTGACAAGGTGAGGGTCAGCTCAGCCAAGCCCCTGTCTCTGTGCTTCCCTTAGAGGAGCTGCTCTTGATGGACTTGGGAATGGGAAGTTTGTCCTCCTTCTACCACTTTTCTAATAACTTCTGCAGCAAGGAAGTCCCTCCTGTGGACTAACTGGACTCTCTGGCTATGCGGAGGCCCTGTTGTTCCATGACTGGGGCTCAGGGACAGAGAACGGCCAACCAGCAGGGGAGAAGACCTTGCCCCATTAGTCTGTCCAGTCTTTTGGTGTGTTCAGAGTGTCATGGAAGGTCATGAGGCTCCCCCTGGCCAGGTTGGGCAGGGACACAGCGGAAAGGTGGGGCTGATGGGAGGGTCCCACAGGCTTTACTTTCCAGAGGCTGTGCACAGGGAGTCCCACGGGAGCCTCAGGGATCCTCTGCTTCTGCTGCAGGTGCGGTTCCTGGAGCAGCAGAACAAGGTCCTGGAGACCAAGTGGCACCTGCTGCAGCAACAGGGGTTGAGTGGCAGCCAGCAGGGTCTGGAGCCTGTCTTTGAGGCCTGCCTGGATCAGCTCAGGAAGCAGCTGCAGCAGCTCCAGGGAGAACGAGGGGCTCTGGACGCTGAGTTGAAGGCCTGCCGGGACCAGGAGGAGGAGTATAAGTTCAAGTAGGCACACTGAAATTTCCCCATGCTATGTGGGCGGGGTCTGGGAGGACTCAGATTGGGTCTGACAGTCAGGAGGTGTCCCACATACTGAGCACCCAGAGGCACATGACTGGCCTCCCCTCTACCCCTCCGCATCCCCATTCCCCAGGCTCTCAGGTGCCCACCTGCTACAGGTAAAGGAGGTGTCCCGCAGCCCCCACCCAGGTCTGGAGAACCTCGGAGGAAAGGCGAGGAGACCAGTGTCCTACATGCCCCAGTTACAAGGGCCCGTGTTTCCGGTCAAGGCTGGGAAGGGCTTATTTAAACAATGCCCCAGTGGCTTTTTTTTTTTTTCTTGAGAAATTCCTGTTCAGCAGGCTGTGGGCTAAAGTGATTCAGATGTTCTCTGAATTGACTGAAATTGATTCCTCCCAAGGAGGGGAGGGAATCAATTTAGTGGAGCCGTCCCCAGGCCTGTGACACAATTCACAGATGGGTTGTGGTTCTGGGCTGCACGCCTAGGTCACCTGGTGGAGTGGAGAGAGCCCTGGACTAATAGGGGGCTTGGGTGGGGGCGACTGTGAGTGAGGGGTAGCTGTGCGGCCTGGGCAAGGCATCTCATCTCTCCCAGACTTGGTTTCCCTTCTGTAAACTTGGGAAATGTCACCTGCCCTTCCGGCCTCCCAGACCTGTTGGGATGATGGGATATGAGGCGGAGGAGGGCAGGTTCTGGAAGGAGCCCAGGATTGGGGTCAGGAGACCTGGGTTGGCTCTGTTTTGTCTACCTAGTCATCTGTGGGGTCTTGGTCAAATAGTCTAATCTCTCTGATAAAACCCAAACTGTCTGCCCCAGTGATGGGTGTGAGTAGCAAGTGGGAAAAGGTATTCTAATATGCCTTATAAACTGAAACAATGTGACTGTCGTCATCAAAGGGACATGGGCTGAAAGAGTGGCACAGGTACATAGCCAGGACGTGGCGGGAAAGGAGAGAAGGGCTGCTTGTTGTCCTGTTTGGGGGCATTCTCAGGCAAGGAGTCCTTTTCAGGAAAGTCATGCTTGGAAGTGGGGGCATGAGCTCTGACCGTGGAGCCTCGAACTGCGTCCTTCTCTACTTATTTGGCAGGTATGAGGAGGAGGCCCACAGGCGCGCCACACTTGAGAATGACTTTGTGGTCCTCAAGAAGGTGAGGGTGGGGGCCAGTGCTCCACTTACGTCCTGAGCACCCACTGTACACGGAGCCTAGTCCTAGGCTGGGAGGGAAAGGGTGAGAGGTCCTGATTTAGGACAGGTTATCGCTCTGCCTGCAGGAGTCCCCTGGGGAAATGGGACATCTGCCTAGACACAGGGACCCCAAGACAAGATCTGACTGAAGGACTGCTTGACGAGCTCTGATGTCACAGCAGGAGAGGGTGGAGAGGGAGAGGAAGAAGCAGAACTGGTTGTGATTAATCAGGGAAGACTTCCTGAAGGCTATGTTGGGTCAATGTTGGGCAAAGGAGAGAGCAGGACAGGGTGGGGCTGGAGGAGGAAGGAGGGGGACTTGGGAGGCATGGTGGATGGGTGTCGAGCAGTGCATGAACAGTATTCCTGAGCCAGAGTAGGATCCCCAAAGGAGAAGAGGGGGCTGCAAGGTTTCTCTCCCGCTGTGTCTAGGATGCGGATGAGGTTTTCCTGAGCAAGATGGAGTTGGAGGGCAAGCTGGAGACTCTGAGAGAATACATCTGCTTCTTGAAGCATCTGAATGAAGAAGTGAGGCTCAACCAAAGGGCAGGCGGGAGCCAAGAGAGGGGACAGGGTGGGCAGGCTCCCTGTGGCCATGGGGAGAGTGGCCAGAGGGGAAGTCTGTTAGGGTGGCTTAGATTCTGGGTCATTCAGTCACTTGACAACCAATTACTAAAAACTTACTATGTGAATCGCTAGGTCCTGGGGATACATCAATGAATAACCAGACAAAAATCACTACAGACAAAAAGATTGCTTTTTTTTTTGAGATGGAGTCTTGCTCAGTCACCCAGGCTGGAGTGTTGTGGTATGATCTCAGCTCACTGCAACCTCTGCCTCCCGGGTTCAAGCAATTGTCTGCCTCAGTCTCCCGAGTAGGTGGGGTTACAGGCGCCTGCCACCACAGCCGGCTAATTTTTGTATTTTTAGTAGAGATGGGGTTTCACCATCTTAGCTAGGCTGGTCTTGAACTCCTGACCTCGTGATCCACCCGCCTTGGCCTCCCAAAGTGCTGGGATTACAGGCATGAGCCACCGCGCCCGGCTAAGTTTGCTTTCTATTGGGAGACAGACAATAAGCAACAGACTTAGTAAATAAGGAAATTATACAGTATGCTAGGAGGTTATAAACACAATGGAAAAAAGGAAAATGAGCACAGGGAAAGGAGGATTGGGAACATGGGGCAGGTGCCAATTTCAAATCATGTGGCCAGGGTAGGCCTTATTTAGGAGATAAAATCTGAGCAAAGATTTGGAGGAGGTGAGAAAGGTTACCACGCAGGGGGGTTTCCGGGATTCCAGGCAGTGGCTGCAGCCCACAGTGGGAGTGTGCTGTCTGAGGAAATGCAGGAAGGCCAGTGTGGCCAGAGTTGTAGGAGCAAGAGAGAGAGGAATGTGATAAGAGGTCTGAAGATGGCTGGGCACAGTGGCTCGTGCCTACAATCCCAGCATTTTGGGAGGCTGAGGCAGGTGGATCACCTGAGGTCAGGAGTTCGAGACTAGCCTGGCGAAATGCTGTCTCTACAAAAAACACAAAAATTAGCCAGACTTTGTGGCAAGTGCTTGTAATCCCAGCTGCTAGGGAGGCTGAGGCAGAAGAATGGCTTGAACCTGGAAGGCGGAGGTTACAGTGAGCTGAGATCATGCCACTGCACTTCAGCCTGGGCAACAGAGTAAGACTCCATCTCAAAAAAAAAAAAAAAAAAAAAAAAAGAAGAAGAAGAAAGAAAGAAAAAAGAAGAAGAAGAAGAAGAAAAAAATGAAGCCTGAGGAGTGAAGGGGGCTGGGTGATTTCGGGCCTTGCAGGTCATTTTCCATTAATGTCCAAGCTGCAAGAGACCTCAGAGACCACCTCCTATGGCCCTCATTTTTGAATGAGGAGATCAAGTCCCATGGTGAGCAGGGCATACTCAATGCCACCTGGGATGAATGGGGGTCATGGCGTGTAAGCAGAAATTTGCCATCTTGCTCAATCATCCTAGGCTTCAAGGGGAGAGGGAGCTGGGGGTGGGTGGACACTGAACCTGTCTTCCCTGCAGGAGCTGGGCCAGCTCCAGACCCAGGTCAGCGACACGTCTGTGGTACTGTCCATGGACAACAACCGCTACCTGGACTTCAGCGGCATCATCACTGAGGTCCGCGCCCGGTACGAGGAGATCGCCCGGACCAGCAAGGCTGAGGCTGAGGCCCTGTACCAGACCAAGGTGGTGGGACCCGGGAGGGCAGCACCATGCTGGAAATGGCTAGGTCTCCATGCCCACAGTCTAGGGTGGTCATCCACCTAGATTCCATTGGGGCAGTTCCAGTTACCTCCCTGAAGGTCTGGGGCTGGGTGGGCAGGGCCATTTCCCCTCCAGGAGGGAGGTGATGCAGAGGAACTGTGGGAGATAAGCTTGGACTTCTGGAAGTACATCCCACTGTGTCCTGGCTACAGGCGTTTAACAAACACTCCAAATAAAGAAGTGAGAGGTGGCATTCCAAACATAGGGAGATGGTCAAAGGTGGCAGTCCTCTCAACTAATGGTGTCCCCTCTGTTCCCCTCTCAGTACCAGGAGCTTCAGGTGTCTGCCCAGCTTCATGGGGACAGGATGCAGGAAACGAAAGTCCAGATCTCTCGGCTGCACCAAGAGATTCAGAGGCTGCAGAGTCAGATTGAGAACCTCGAGAAGCAGGTAGATTCCCAGAGCCCCCCAAACATCCTCTCATTGCCTTTGTGTCTTCAACTCACTCCCCAGTTCCTAGTTTCTGTCTCTCCATTAGGGTTGCCAGTGGGTTTGTGTCGAGGACGTTGATAACTGGCTGGAGCTTTGGATAATTTGGGGAGAAGATAACTTCAAGCCCCATTTAGGGTGAATTCAGCCTTCCTGTTGTGACTTCTAGCCGCATGTTGGCTTCTGTGGGATAGTGCCACTGCATTGCACTCCCCTGGTGTTGGGGAGGGGCTGACAGCATTGGAGCCTATGTCCAGGTGTACGTCTTGCTTTCAACCTTTTGGGGAGATGGTTAATTCATCTCTTTTCTCTTTTCTTATCTCTTTCTTTTCTTTTTTTCTTTCTTGTTTCTTTCTTTCCTTCTTTCTTTCCTACAGAGTCTTACTCCGTTGCCCAGGCTGGAGTGCAGTGGCGTGATCTTGGCTCACTGCAACCTCTGCCTCCGGGTTCAAGGGATTCTCCTGCCTCATCCTCCTGAGTAGCTTGAATTACAGGCACGTGCCACCATGCTTGGCTAATTTTTGTATTTTTAGTAGAGACGGCGTTTCACCATGTTGGCCAGGCTGGTCTCAAACTCTTGACCTCAAGTGATATGCCCACCTCGGCCTCTCAAAGTGGTGGGATTACAGGCATGAACCACTGCACCCAGCCTCATCTCTTTTCTTTTTCTTTCTTTTCTGTTTTTTTTTGAAATGGAGTTTCACTCTTGTTGGCCTGGGCTGGAATGCAATGGCATGATCTCAGCTCACTGCAACCTCTGCCTCCCGGGTTCCAGTAATTCTCCTGCCTCAGCCTCCCGAGTAGCTGAGATTACAGGTGCCCACCACCATGCCCGGTTAATTTTTGTATTTTTAGTAGAGACAGGGTTTCACCATGTTGACCAGGCTGGTCTCAAACTCCTGACATCAGGTGATCCACTGGACTCAGCACTCAAAGTGCTGGGATTACAGGTGTGAGCCACTGTGCCCAGCCCACATCTCTTTTCTTATCTCTTCTTTTGACTCTTACTTCTCAAGCCCAGCAGGGACTTTAAGGTCAAACACTGAAGGTCCTGGGGCCCTATGGGGGAAGTTGGGAGCCAGGGCCTCAGAGAGTAAGTGAGGTGGGTGGCAGGATGGGGCTAACTTCTCCTTAGGCAGATGCATTACAATGGTCAGAAGTAGAGGAAGGGATTGGCAAGGGGAAGGAAGCCATTTCCTGCTCCTCCTGCAGTGAGGAGACCTCACTTCTAGGCGTGAAGTGTTATGAATTCTCAAACTGTGAAGTATTCTTGCACTCATATTTCCTAAACCCAAAAGATCAATTTGGGGATCAATGGAGGATGGAGAGCAGAGACCACAGAGTCAAGCCATTTCCTCAAGCACTACAGCTTGGTTCGAAAGTCACATGCTGTCCCTTGACTCCCAAGCAAAGCCCTCTGGGGAGGGTTCTTGGAGTATCCAGAACCCACACTTCATCCCAAACCATCCTTCTGGCTCTTGTTTGCAATGAGAGGCAGGGCCTGAGAGGAATGTGATGAGTCCTGTTACTCAATTTGCTGCCACTATGTTTCACCAACCAATTTGAACCCCTTGCTTTGGAATCCTCTGGGGAGGCTGTTAAGATCCAGATTCCTGGCCTCCTGGCAGAGCTGAGGAGTCAGAATCTCTAAGGATGGGGCCCAGAAACCTGCTTTTTAAATGAGGTTGCCCAGCTGGTTCTGAAGCATGTGGTCTTCAGAGTCTAGTGGCAGCATGGAGTATGTACTGGGTACCTGGGCCTGGGAATCACAGCTCCTCACACAGCAACGTGCCTTTCCTGGGAGAATCCCTCCTGGGGATATAGCACTGTCCCCTGCTGCTTTTCCTGCACAAACATGATTAACTGGGCTCCCCTGCGCAGGCCCAAGTGGGTTAGGATCCCAGTTCTGCCACCCATCTTTCTGAGCCTCAGTTTCTTCATCTGTAGAGTAGAGATTATGTTTCTATCCACAGAGTGGGGATCTAATAATGACAGACTTTAGATAATTCCTTCTTTCCTGAGTCAGATGTGAGGGTAAATCAACTGTAAGGCTGATAAAGACAGGGATCTCATCCTTTCCCTAGCTTTCTATTGTCAGTAAAGGGATTATATTTTCCTTCCTTTTTTTTGAGAAGGAGTCTTGCTCTGTCACCCAGGCTGGAGTGCAGTGGCGCGATCTTGGCTCACTGCAACCTCCACCTCCCAGGTTTAAGAGATTCTCCTGTCTCAGCCTCCTGAGTAGCTGGGACTACAGGCGTGTGCCACCATGTCCAGCTAATTTTTTTTTTTTTTTTTTTTTTTTTTTGTATTTTTAGTAGAGACAGGGTTTCACTGTGTTAGCCAGGATGGTCTTGATCTCCTGACCTAGTGATCTGCCCACCTCAGCCTCCCAAAGTGCTGGGATTACAGGTGTGAGCCACTACACCCGGCTGAGATTATGTTTTTCAAACCCAAAATTGAGGCACACGGTTTGATGTACTCTGACAACAGGACAAAGTATTTGAAATGGGACTGTCTGAAAAAAAAAAAGAACGTTGGTGGCCCTCAGGAGGAGCCTTGTAGGTGGTGATCCACGGTACAGGAAGAGCGCTAAGCACCCTGGGAGAGGTGCCGAGGGCTGGGGGTGGGAAGAAATAGGGAAAGAGCACTTGGGGAGGTGGCACAGGAGTTGTACTAGTGTCCTAGGGCTGCCGTGACAAATCTCCACAAATTGGGTGGCTAAAAACAACAGAAATGTAATCTCTCCCTGTCCTGGAGCCTTGAAGTCTGAAATCAAGGTGTTGGCAGGGCTGTGCTTCCTCTGAAGGTGCAGTGGGAGTCCTCCCTGGGTCTTGCTAGCTTCTGCAGGCTCCAGGAGCTCCTTGGCATTTTTCGTCTTATTGCTGCATCATTCCCATCTCTGCCTCTTTCTTTTTTTTTTCTTTTTTTTTGAGACAGAGTCTTGCTCTGTTGCCAGGCTGGAGTGCAGTGGCACGATCTTGGCTCACTGCAACCTCTGCCTCCTGGGTTCAAGCAATTCTTCTGCCTCAGCCTCCCCAGTAGCTGGGACTACAGGTGCGTGCCACCACGGTCAGCTATTTTCTTTTTTTTTTAAATTTTTAGTAGAGACAGGGTTTCACTGTGTTAGCCAGGATGGTCTCGAACTCCTGTAATCTGCCTGCCTTGGCCTCCTAAAGTGCTGGGATTACAGACGTGAGCCACCACACCCAGCCCTGCCTCTCTCTTCTGATGAGTTCTTCTCTCTGTGTCTGTCTCTGTGTTCTCTCTTCTATTCATAAGGACACCAGTCATTGGATTTAGGGCTCACCCTAAATATGGTATGATATGATTATGAGATCCTTAATTAATTACATCTGTAAAGACCCTACTTCCAATAAGATTACATTCTGGGGTCCTGGGTGGACATGAAAGTTTTGGGGGATTCTCTTCAACCTACTGCAGGAGGTAAGGAAGTGAGGGAAGCAATACCTTCCCTTAGAATGAGAGGAGCCTGTTGCAGGGGTGGTGTTGGTACAGATGGCCATGTATAATTTTGAGCTCATGAGATTATGATCCACCCCAGCCCTCAAGTGATATCCACAGCGGGTGCTTTGAGAGGCTATGTTGGACTTACAAACACTTTCTCACTCATTTCTACCCCGCTTCCAGAACGCCAGCCTGCAGGCCGCCATCGCTGACGCTGAGCAGCATGGGGAGCTGGCCCTCAAGGATGCTCAGGCCAAGGTGCACGAGCTGGAGGCTGCTCTGAGGACGGCCAAGCAGAACCTGGCCCAGCTGCTGTGCAAGTACCAGGAGCTGATGAGCACGAAGCTTTCCCTGGATGTGGAGATTGCCACCTACCGCAGGCTGCTGGAGGGCGAGGAGTGCAGGTGAGGGAGGCTTGGAGGGACCTGGGAATATGAGGTGGGGGAGGAGGATGGGATGCCAACACAGTGAGCTGCTTGCTAAAGAGGATTCCGAGAGATTTCCTGACATTGCGAGTCGCTAAGGGCAACTGACGCTGCAGAGAGATATTTTAAGTTGGGGACTGTGGATTTTATCTGCTGAGAGGGTGGGTGGCCTGCTCTGAGGGGCTTAAAAGCTCGTAGGGATGCATTCTTTGCAGTATTTCTTAGCGCATCCCTCTCTTGTCCTTTTTCCCCTAGGATGTCTGGGGAGTGCCCCAGCCAGGTCACTATCTGTGAGTATCAGGGGACTTTGGGGATGGGATCCCCACGGGGAGCCGAGGACCCTGCTCTGACCCGGTGCATTTCTTGGCAGCCTCGGTGGGAGGCAGCACTGTCGTGTCTGGAGGAGTTGGTGGAGGCTTGGGGAGCGTTTGTGGACTTGGTGGCGGGAAAAGCAGCTCTGGGTCCTGCTGCACCAGCATCGTGACTGGAGGCTCCAACATTATCCTGGGCTCTGGAAAGGACCCTGTTTTGGGTTCCTGCTCTGTGTCTGGCTCCAGCTCTGGCTCCAGCTGCCACACCATCCTGAAGAAGACAGTTGAGTCGAGTCTGAAGACATCCATCACCTACTGAGTGAGCCAGCAGCCACCTCCTTCCTGAACACATTTGGCCTGCTCCCCCCATCAGCCGGCTCTGCACGGCCAACTCTGTGTCCACTGCCCACAGCCCAAGCCAGCCCACAGCGGATGCTGCAAAAATCAATAAAGTCTCCCCTCCTGCCGTTCTGAATGCTCTAAGTGCTTGCGCACCTCACCCAGCAAAACAAAAGCTGTGTGGCTCCCCAGCCTCCTCTCCTTGGAAGGCAATCTGTGGCATATGTGTGTCCAAACGGGTCCTATTGGCATCTCACTCCACATCCCAGCCACTCTATCAAGGGATCCTTCAAGCCCCCCAGTGTGTTCCTCGGGGTGCCCTCCATCTCTCATACTTCCACTGATGTTTTAGCTGTGCTTGTAGCTCACTTTCTCGTCAATTGCCTGTGTTAAGAGGTTCTAGTTCTTACTGCGGGCAGCCCCCTTCCTTATTCCTGACTGTGCACCAAATTTTTCTCCTCCTGGGAAGATTCTCTAATTCTCATGTTTAACCTGCTGGGCCCTTCCTGTCCCTGGCAGTCTGGCTGCACCTGTTGCTGTCCTGGGCTCTGTGTCTGTCTGGTTCTGGTCAGGGACTCAGCTTCTCAATTAGCCTGCACTCCTGCACCCAGGATGAGGATGTGCTCAGCTTGTGCCTGGGGGTTCTGATGGAGACTTGGGGCTCAAACTCTGCCCCTACCCCCTTATCTGTTGGCTCTCATCTTATCTTTGGGCAAGTCTGAACATGAGGTTGGAAACTTCTCCTCCTTCCTCTCCTTCAGGAAACTCTGCAGGAAGCCAGGAGTGTGGGAGTCGGGTGGGGTGCCAGGAGGGGCTGGAAGGATCACCTTTTCTACCCACCCCCAGCAGCCTCACGGGTGCGTGCAGTTGCTCTTTCCCCATTCTTGCTTTCCAGACCCAGGTGGGGGACCTTGCTCAACCTCACACTCCACTGTCTGGGCTGCAGGAGTTCACATTACACCTGTCCTTGCTTTAGAGGGAGGGCAGGCCTTTCCTCAGATCCATGAATCTCTCCATCCAAATTATGCAAGAAGGCTTTTCAGCTTTGTGTGAAGGAGACAGGAACCGGTGAGGATGTGGCTAGAACTCCTAGGCTTGAATCCCAGCTCTGCCGTTTCCTAGTGGTGTGACCTTGATCAAGCGGCTTGACCTCTTCAGTTACCTCATCTGTAAAAAGAGAATAATAATAATATGTACCTCACAGGGCTGTGTGGCGACTGTGCCACTAGGATCCCAGAAGGAAACGAAATTCATCCAAGGGAGTTCAATTAAATTGACTTTTTAAAAAAGTAGGCCGGGGGCGGTGGCTCAAGCCTGTAATCCCAGCACTTTGGGAGGCTGAGACAGGCGGATCATGAGGTCAGGAGATCGAGACCATCCTGGCTAACACAGTGAAACCCCGTCTCTACTAAAAAATACAGAAAACTAGCCGGGCGAGGTGGCAGGCGCCTGTAGTCCCAGCTACTCGGGAGGCTGAGGCAGGAGAATGGCGTGAACCCGGGAGGTGGAGCTTGCAGTGAGCTGAGATCCGGCCACTGCACTCCAGCCTGGGCAACAGAGGGAGACTCCGTCTCAGAAAAAAAAAAAAAAAAAAGTATAATTTCCGTTTCTCCCACCTCCCAGAGGATAGTCTTTCTTTAGTGCTGAGGGATTCAGCCCCTTACGAGGGCTTTGGCAGAGGTTGTGGGCAGCACTTGCCATTCTGAATCGAGATATGGGTGTTGGGTCCTTCTGGACTTCACAAGGCTGCTTCCTGCCTGGCCTGCTGTGAGCGGCTCCCCTCACATGGTAATGCAGTTTCACATTCAGCCTGGGAAGCACCCAGACATCCAAGACACTCGCTTTGGAAATGTCCCTGACGGTGGTGGCCTCTACCACATTTTCAGATGAAGACTTTCTTAATGGCCTTGCCCTCGGGCACATGTCAGGTAGAGTTTGTGCAGTGAATAGGCTGCACGTGGCCGTGGGCGTAATTGCTGTTCCTTCTTTTCTTTGTCATCTTGGAAGTGAGGGCCTGAGAGGGCTAAACTGACTTTAACGAAAGGATTACTTACAGTGGTGTAGGTAGGGCTGAGGGAACAGGGATGGAGAGGCTAGGGACCAGCAATGAGAGGAAGCTGTTACCACCTCTAGAGTGAGGTCCACCCTCTCAGTGTGTCCAAGACTGAGAGGACTTGCAGAGCTAAAGCTGGGCAGTCCTGAGAAAATCAGGATGGGCTGGTCGCCTTATGTAGAGCTGAAGGTCAAGAGAAGCAGTGAGGCGGCAGAAGCTGTAATCTTGGGGAGACGCAGCCATGACCCCAGACAGTGGTCTGAAGGAGTTGGAAGTAGGGAGGGAGCTGGGAAGAAGCACCTGACCTCTCTCCTCCCTCTGATCTCCTGCTGGTGTCTCCCTTTGGTCAACCCAACTGGAAGCCAGAGTGCCAGGGAGCAGCCCACAAGGGTCAGAGGAGGGTGGAGAATGGAGCGTGAGGGAGGCAGATGGAGCATCACCATCGTGGAGACTCAACATACCATTGCAGGGATGGTACCCAGGCCACTGTCTGCCTCATAGTATGTGCTGAGTAAATGCTGACTGTAAAAATGATGATAATTAGCTCAGAAAGCCCTACCCTTTGGAGGCTCCTTTGTTCCTGTAACTTTTTTATTGCTCAGCACCCAGCCTGGCCCACGGTAGGTGCTAGGTTGGCAGTATCCACTGTCTTGCCCCCTCCCTTTGGCGGCAGCAACCTTCTTTCCCCTCTGCTTTTGTGTCCTGCCATCAGGGAGGGACTCTGGGCAGGTGACAGTCTCCAGAGATGGAGCCCCTCAGTAATGAGTATAGCAGTGTGCAGCAGCTCTTCCTCTCTGTGGAGGACAGGAGGGGAGGAAACCGCTCCTCCCTGGGCTGCAGAAAGAAGGTCTTAGCTTGCATGTCTTGTCTGAAGGTAGAGTTGTGAGGGCTGGTGGAGGCAAAGTGGCCTCCCAGGCTTCTGTCTGGGCCTGGACTGTGAGCCTGGGTGGGAGGGAGGCTGTCTTCAAGCAGCAAGCCGGGAGCTCCATGAGAGTATGCCCTGGGCCCTGTGCACCTGTCCCCAGCTCCCAGCACAAAGCCTGGCCCAGAGAGCAAGCTTGGTAAATGTGTGCGAGGGATGGCGTGAGTGTCAGTGTCTGGGGTGAGGTGAGACTTGTGTTTACTGACTGCCTCTCACTCCCACCAGCCTGGCTGTCCTGTGACTCAGAGGGGGCCCACAGCCACATCCTGGAGGCTAGGGCCCACTCATGACTGTTTCCTCCTCCCACACGGCCCAGGGAGAGATAAGGGAGGCTGAGAAAGTGATCTCAGCCTGGGTAAAGGAAACAAAGGTCAGTGGGAAGTGGTGGCTTCATCCAGGGATCGCTTTTCCAAAGGGCTTCCATGGAGGGCCCTGCTTGTAGGCAGAGGAGGAAATGGGGCTCCAGAGAAGTTGCGAGTTGTTCCAGGACACGCAGCTCAGTGTGGGAGATGGCTCGGCTTGGCTCCTCAAATGCCCAGTGTCCTAACTCCAAAATCTCCTCTTGGCTATTAAGGGACTAGTTCTGCAAGTGCTGTCACTCTCATTCCTTGTGGGAGCCGGGTTCAACTTCTTCAAGCAACTGGGAACCACTTACAGCCTCCCAGGGGCCCTAGGAGAAGATCCCACAGCTCCCTCTGGTCCTGGAGCAGGCAGTCTCTTCACTTGCCCTCTCTGGGCTGAGGGAGGCCAAGCCTTCTCCATGGCAGTCCCATGTCCTCTCTTTTGGGATCCTGGGGACACAGGCTGGTTGGTCGTTCTGCTCATCTTGTGGGGGTGGGGAGCACAACGATGCTGTCCTCGCTCTTTTTTTTCAGGCAAGTCTCGGTTCACTTTGAGCCCATCTTCTTGCTGAGAGATGAAGGGGGTGAGGAGGGCCAGTGTCTAAAGTCACCTCCTCAATCACCCCTTGCCCCTGACAGTTGACGTCTCTATCTTTGCTCGGGGCTTTGTTTGGTCCCAGCAGACTGAGGTGAATAGGAAGTTGGGGGCGACCATATGAGGTGATTTAAGGAGCTCCACAGGCCCCTCTGAATCAGACACATGGGCTCCTGCATAAGGGGAAGATGGGAGTGACAGGGTTTCTGCATGGGCCTCCTGGGGCTTTTTCTGAACACCTGCCTTTTGGAGCTGTGCCTGTTTCCACCCAGGGTGGTCTGTGTCCTCAGCCCACCTCCAGCTCCCTCCAAAGTGGCCGAACCTTTCTGTGGGGACTCTGCTGTGGTGCAGAGGGTCAAGGATCTCAGGTATTGGTTAAATCCCCTGCTGTCTCTTCAGCCTCCATAAGAGGGTCCTTTGCTCCCAGGCTTCTGGGCCCTGCCTGAGGACCCCAGGCCTTTTCTACCTCCTGATCAAGTGCCTTGCCCCCATGGTTGGCCAGGGACCCTCTTTCTGTCTTTGAATTCACTTTGCCTGCACAGGCTCACTTCCCAGAAGGCTCTGTCGCTCCATGGCAGAGGCACAGGCTATTCCCACTCTCACCCTGTCACCTGTGTCACCCACCCTGGACCTGTGAGGAACGGTGGGCCGTGGGCTGGGGGTGGCAAGGGAGCAGGCCTGGATGCTCCCTCTGGCAATCCATTGCTCAATGCTCCTTCTCCTACCACCTGCACAGCCCCAGGCCCTGCAGCCTTGGCTTACAACAGGGGCCTGGGACAAACCCCATAGAACAGAGCTCTATTGACAGCGGCCACTGGGGCTGGGTAGGAGGACAGCAAGGCAGCCACTGGGTGGTGGGGGTGGCCGTGGGAGCCCGTATCATCCTGTGCCAACCAAGGAGAGCCTGGGGGCAGGGGGAGAAGGTGGCATCCTGCCCCAGACAGTCTCAGCTCAGCCCCAGCTCTGGAGCACAGGTGATAATCAGGGGGGCCCCTCCCTCCTGCTGGGGGAGACCCCTCCCTCTCCCCCTGGGGCGATGGGGCAGGAGTGTCTGTGGAGCTGGGGAGCCGGCCCAGCTGGGAAAAGATAAAAAGCCCACGGTGGCCCAGCAGCTCACGGCACTCCCTTCCTGCCCTCTCGTCCTGCCCTCTGGCCTCTCTGCAGCTATGAGGTCCTCTGTCTCTCGGCAAACATACTCCATCAAAGGGGGCTTCAGCTCCAACTCTGCCAGTGGAGGGGGTGGGTCCCAGGCCCGCACCAGCTTCAGCTCAGTGACGGTGTCCCGGAACAGTGGCAGTGGTGGTGGGGCCCGCTGTGGCCCCAGCACAGGTGGCTTTGGCAGCCGAAGCCTCTATAACTTGGGGGGCCACAAGAGTATCTCTGTCAGTGTGGCCGGAGGGGCCTCCTCGGGGCGGGCTCTGGGGGGCTTTGGCTTTGGCAGCAGGGCATTTACAGGACAGGGGGCTGGCAGGCAGACGTTCGGGCCCGCTTGTCCTCCTGGGGGTATCCAGGAGGTCACCGTCAACCAGAGCCTGCTGACTCCCCTCCATGTGGAGATAGACCCCGAGATCCAGCGAGTGCGCACTCAGGAGCGGGAGCAGATCAAGACCCTCAACAACAAGTTCGCCTCCTTCATCGACAAGGTGAGCCAAGCAGGAAGGAGGAAGGGAGCTCTTGGGGAAGAAGCGGGACCTCTAAGAGAGGGTGGGCTGGGCTAGGGCTGCTATAAGCCCCCTTGTACTAGGGTGGTTGTTGACAGAGCTCTGGAGCTCTCCCCGTCTAAGCCTGGGATGCCGAAACGTGGGTGGCTGGAGGCAACCTTCAGGTCTTTGCTGTGCCTGTGCGGGGGAGTCTCCAGTCTACTCATGAGTCCTGTTTGCCAAGCCCACCTTGCCTGTGTTGAAGCCTATTCTACCACCATGATTAATACGATTGATTACACAGTAGCCTTACCTCATCATCAAAAAATGGATGGTCCTCATTGCTCCTCTTAGCGGGGTGGTCCGCATTGCCTTTTGTCATTTTACAGCTGGGGAAACAATGGCTCAGGAGTTGAAAGAGTTGTTCAAGGCTAAGGGCATGGAGCCCTGTTTGTTTCATTCTTTCAGGCTTGGGGGAGGCTTAAGGGCAAGATGTGATCAGAACACAGTTGTGTGTGGGTGGGGTCATAAAGGAAGGCTCCCCTTCGCTTCTCCTTTTTTTCCTCTCTGTTTGAGCGAAGAGGCTCAGGTTGGGGTGGACAATGAGGAGGGTGGTCGTCAGGTCACCAAGCTCTGGGGGTGTGGAGTTTGACCTGTTGCCCATAGGCGTGTCCTGAACCCTGCCCTTGCTCCACATGGATGGCGGCAGCACTTGTGCTGGGATTTCCTGGT